TCATTGTCGGTTGTAATGCTGGACACGTCTGTGAAACTATCATAGTCCATTTCGTCCATGAATCTGATCAAACTAGAAGTAGTGTCAGATAACAATGAATCGTTATCATCTTCATGATGAATCTCGATTAAGACTTCGTTATTGAGCTGACAGCAGTCGGATGCGGTACTTGTTCCGTCATCATTATCATAGTCGACATCGTTGTTATCGCTGTCGTTTTGCTTTGAAGCGATGATTGGGTAATACGTGATGCTTGGGAAGCCCTCTTCCAAACTCCACAATGATGTCGAGTCACTGAATGTATCGTTGATATTACATGTAGTAGAGTGGAACTGTGTTTGAACGAAGAAAAATAATTATATGAGATGAGAGCTGAATAATGTGTAATAGCTTTAAAGTTGCATACAGAGAGGCGGACAAACCAATACGGAGAGAGAATATTGTATATTCGGAGAGAGAAGATTAAAATAAAAATCTAATTAAAGTAGGAGACCGAAAGGCGCGTGAGAGCAAAAGAATGATTTAATTCCAACTATGATTGTCTTGGTTGAATAGAACTTTTACGAATATTGAAGAATTGGGTTTTAATAGAATTCTTACCATTTTGAGGGCTTCTGCTGTCAAAACATTACTTCGGTTGGCAGTACTGTCATCCTCGGAGGCTGTAATTAAATAAATACCACCAAAAAAAAAATCGTAATTTTCAAATTTGCTGTAGAAAATAATGATAGAACAAAGCTGAACAGTGAATGGTGGTCAAAAGAGTACCAACCTATTTTCGGGTCGTGCTCGACGAAGCTTGGTAACTACAGGAACAATAAATCTGATTTATATTAAGACACTATTCAAATGTGAATACTGTGTTTATGTGTTTAATAAGGTTATATGACCATTGGGGGAGCTTTAGGAAAATATTCCTACCTGACAAGAGACAACACAGTCTCCTCATACTCTTTCCCATTCTCTTTCGAAGTCGGGCGAAAAATCGTCGCTTACGAGAAGATCGGCGAGCCATTTCTCTTTGAGATATAAAGACAGGAGCAGAGCAAACGTCTTCAATGCAAGGGGAATTCATAAAGAATGAATCTCTTGTAGGTAATGCGTTACTAATGAAAACACAAAACTTGCGCATTTCATTGTTACGTATGATTTTTGGAGTAGGATTTTAGTAACGCGTTCCTGATTGGTCAAAAGTTTCTACTCGAACGCATTGGTGATGAGTATACATTATTACGTAGTTCAATGCGCGTAAATCTGTGAGAGGGCTTTTCCTATAGGTTGAAGTGAATGCACGCGATGACCTCACAATGATTGTGTAGGTTTTGTCCCTTATAAACTGCCAAAAGCTTGAAAGACAGTGGTGGCAGTGACTGCGGGGGGGGGGGGGGGGGCATAGGTGGTACGTGCCCCGGGTGGCCTTTAGAGGAGATGAACAAATCCGCAAAAAACTACAGGTGCAAAACACGAAGGGAAAAAAAGAAAGGAAAGGGGAGAAAGGGAAGACAAGATTATTAAGATAATAAGGATTATATGCGCTCCCAATACGTTAGGTAAATTGCATCAGAAATAACATTTTGTGTGGGTTTACAATGAAATCTTTTGCTAAAACTCAGTCACTTCACTCTCTCACATAATGCTGTTACACTAGGATCTCGTTATTGCGAAACCCAATATAGTCTACAATTGGTGATTCTAGATTGGTCATTTGTTTTGGTTTTTAATATATATCTCGTTGCTTTGCCCCAAAGTCGCGAACAATTTGATAGCAAAATTTCATTTAAATTTTATCATAATGTGAAAGAGGACGTCATTTAAGATACACTTCTGGAAAGATTTCCCCCCAAAATAATGTGTTTAAAGTCGAATATTGATAAAAGAATACAAAATTTAACTACGGATTTGAGCGGGCTACTCAGGCCTGGTTGACAATAGATCGGTTTACTAACATATTAAAATGTATGGATGTTTTCACTGGGGACCTAGTGACATGTTATAAATAAAATAATAGGAATCCATGTCGGGCAATCATTGGGCAAGCTTTCAGGCTGTCAAGTTTGTTTAAAAAGGATGAATAAAATTGTTAGATATTAGTCGGCCGGTTTATTAGCTAAATAGCCTATACCGTGAGAGTCAAAAAAAAAGTTTACATCTAGAAAATTGCTAATTTTTTTTTAAATCATCTATGAACAGTAAATTATTATACATCTTATGAAAGAGTGTTTTATCTCAAATCATTTAGTACCATATTTGTGTGGTATGTGTTCACGCTTGGATGAACAGGTGGCATTGTTTGCGACAGTGCGAAAAATCGACTTACGCCAAGGTGATGCCTACAGTATGTATTATATTGGGATTAGCGGAGTGAGAAAATGGATTGCATGTATCAAATGAAATGCATTGCATATGTTTTTTTGCAAAGGGCAAAGTCACACACACCCACACACGCGCGCACAAATGTTCGTTGATATTTAATATTCGATATTTGATATGTGTGGCATGATTAATTTTCTTAGGGATGTTATTTGGATCTGCAAAGACTGAATTAATACCCAAATCCCAATTGTTTTATTCAAACATCACATAGGCAACTTTGGCGCAAGTCCATGTTTGCACTCTCGCAAACAATGAGGATGTTCACACCGGCAGAGATAGCGCGCGCTAGACCGCGCTATCTCTACGGTTTGGAAGGTACAACGTCGTTTTGGTCCGCCCAACAGCGAGCCACGGCGAGCCAAAACGGCGTGCCACAGGAGCACCTCTTGGGGGTGGTCCACGAGAGAGAGCGCGGTCTAGCGCGCGCTAGAAAAAAGGGGGTGCTACGATAGACCGCGCTATCTCATTGCGGTGTGAACAGCCTCAATGTCTCCCGTTCATCCAAGCGTGAACACATGCCACACAAAAATGATACCAAACGATTTGGGATAAAACGCTCTTTCAAAAGATGTATAATAATTTACTGTTCATGGATGATTTTTAAAATAATTAGCCTCGCCTAATTTTCTAGGTTTAAACTTTTTTTGACTCACACGGTAGTGCCCCCATGTAATAATAATAATAGTTCGTACTTATATAGCGCTTTTCAGGACCACAGGCCCTCTCAAAGCGCTTTACAGATATGTATTATTACTCCAGTCATAGGATTCAGTCTTCAATCGCAAACAATGTATGCACATTCTCCACTCCCTGGGAAGCATTCCAGCCAGGCATAATTTTTACAAGCGCAAACTTGCTCATCTAACCACATTAACTTTCGCATTCTACCGGGTACCCATTTAACACCGGGGTGGAGATCGAGTAGCAAATGTAGATCAATGCCAAAGGACATTAGTGCCGCGGCAGGACTTGAACCACGGACCTTGTGATTCACAGTCCGGTGACATACTCACTCGACCACGACACCTCTATGTATTATCAAGCTCTTTAGCCAAATATTTGTGATTGATTCAGTGAAGAGACCTTGGCAATTTCTTGTAATTTTTCTAAAAAAAGAGCTTTTGAAAAAGAAAATGAAGTGTCATATTCCATAGCAAAACAAAAATGATGGCACTGATGTACTAATCCATTAATGTCGATTCGTTTTTCTTCTTCTTCATAACATTTACATTGTCATTAACGCAACTGCAATTTTATATTGAACTTTATGTGGAAAAGCATAGAATTATGAAGAATTGCAGTGTTGCAGAGCGGAATGATAATAATAATTATTGAGTGAATGATAAAGTACAACTACCGGTATAATGTTTGGTATCAGATAGCCTTGTAACAGAGGGGATACCAGCAATGGTGTCGCGAGAGTCTCTATTTTGATAGATAAGAATATCGCTTTCACCGGATAAGAGGTATTGAATTATAAGAAGAAGAACTATTAATAAGTAAGGAGGCGGCATGTTTGTATTATAAAGTTGAGGGGTTAGACTCAATTAAGTGGAACTTTCATAATTCTATTGCGAAGTGGGAGGGGTGGGGTGGGGTACAAATCCGAAATATGTCATATCTCTGTCAAGGAAGCAAGCACTTAAAAGGGAAAAGGTTTTCATATATTATATTTCGGGTTTCAGGTCCCTATTTGGCCGGGGTGACTCATACTATTACACACTTATTGCGCATTTATATTAAATGAACTTACGGTATTCAAACTTGGATTTTGCCTGAATATGCAACTATGAATATTTTCTCCATCACTATTGAAGAAAAAGCTCTCATGTACACTATATTATGTCTAATAAATATCGTTTTTAACATTACGGTATCAAACCTGAGAAAGCCAACAAGCAATGGCGACGATTTGTATTCATGACTGGGGGGGGGGGGGACGAAATGCGATATTTGCCAGTACATTTTGAAGGATATTATGCGAGGGAGCGTAGTAAGAAGATTTTTTCCTCATTTTTATTAGTCTGAACGCTGCACTATTGGGCCCTCCAGAGCCTTTAAAGTGTGTTGCAGACTTTGATAAGTATTTGCTATACATTTTTATGTGCATTTTTTCAAAATTTCCGGGAAGGAGGGAAGATCCCCCCTAGAAAAATTGAGGTTTTTCCTACGTTTCTTAAAGGTACATTTAGATGGTTCTTTATATCTTTAAAAGCTATCTGCACTAGTTTGGCGGGGGGGGGGATTAGACCTCCCTGCGTGGTCACTGACATGTGGTTATCTCATCAAATCAGCTCTCAGTTAACATAAGAAAAAGGGAACCATGGTGCTCAACACGTACTGCTTAGGCATTGTTGGATGTAAAGAGGGCGCAAGTAGCTACAAGAAGTGCAGTCCCGCATTAAAAAGTAAGATTTCTGAGAAGAGATGAATAAGATGTGTTGGGGACTGATCATGTTGTGAATGTGATCGACCGTTATGTCAAGGCAGGATCACCTTACCTGAGACCATACGGTCCGCCATACGCTGCATGTTCACATCCTGTCTACGCCATGTCTACGCCAGTGTTTGCCCCGAGAAAAAAACATAAATGGGGGCCCTGCAAAAGAAAACAATCATTCGCCAGCCCGGACCTCGACAAGAGCAACAGAACCAACCTTTCTTGCACCATACTATAGAGATCTCTAAACCATCGTCTTCAACAGTCTTCATCTGACCGTTCCTGTATTGGTAAGTGATAACAGTCATGGAGGTGTCGTGGTTTAGTGGTTCATTTACTTGACTCTCAATCCAAGGGTGTAGGGTTCGCATCCCATCCAGATACTAATGTCCTTTGGCAAAACATTCATCAACTTTTGTCACTCTCCTGACGGGTGATATTTTGTTGCTCGGTAGGATGCGAAAGTAATAAACAATTTGGCGCATCAGATCGATGTTTTTTTTTAACTCCGCCTCTTTAATCTGTTGATGAGAAAACTAATTTTATTCTGATATTTTACATTCAACAAAAAGGCGTTTAAACATGTTAACAGTTTGTTGAGCATTTTGATATGGTCGTGAGAGTTATTGGATTGTTAATCATATTGGCTAAGAAAGTGAGAAAAATATTTTTGGGAGTGTTAAGAAAATAATTTGTGGTACAAATAGTACAATAATCATTCAAGTATCACCATGTCGAGGGGCACTTTCACGGGATTAACATAGTGTCCCTTGTTCCAATTATTATTATTATTATCATTAATTATTCGTCGTCACCTGTGCCTGGGAGGCGAAAAGCGAACTGAATCTTTGTAACCCTCTTGTCTCCCCTCTCGGCTATTATACTGATTGGAGGTGTGCAGGTGGACCACTACACTGTGGTTTAGTGCAGCGGGTTCCGTGCAAAGGTGGTGACTCTCCTCTACACGGGGAGGTGGGAGGACGTAACGTCCTATCCGAGGGTTAGCAGGGCTGAATCTCTTGCTCGATTATCAAATTTCCATATGCTCGATTTGCATGCGAGCGAGTGAAAATATATAGTGTTATTATATATCAAAGATATATAAAAATATTTTAAAAATAGACTACCTTGCTACCGGATGTTTAGCGGTGATTGCTCGGATATTTATCATTTTGAATTTTTGGATGGCGGTTCCGGCCCCTCCCCCCCCCCCCCGCCTCATACGCCTATGTCAAGAACTTTATCGTGCTTTCCATTAAATTAAAAGTTGATTTAAGTTTCTTAAAATATCATGGTATGAATCTAAGATCTAGAAAATAGTGCTGAAAATCATTTAAACATTAATTATTTTCCTTCTATTTTAACACTTTTTTTTTTTTTTATAGATTTTCTTTAAAAATGAAAGGCACCATACTCGTAACCGTGGTGGTCCTTGGTTTGGTGATCGCTCACGTGACTGCGGCCAACTTGGAACATCTCTTCGATGATGAAGGGGACCTTCAAATGTGTAAGTTCCAAAGACCAGAGAGAATAAGAGAGAGAGAGAGAGAGAGAGAGAGAGGGGGGAGGAGAGAAAGAGAGAGAAAGGTAGAGAGGAAAAAGGGAATGTAAAATTGAAAGGGATAGAGAAATAAAGCGAAAGAGAGGAAAGAAGAAGAAGAGAGAGAGATTAGAGAGGGTAGGTGAGGGAGAAAGCAATAATAATTTATACAAAACACTAGGCGTAGCACTGACGTATTAAATGAGTACAATCTTTTTTGTTGTTGGGGAGGAGGGGGTGGGGGGGGGCAGAACAAAAATCCGCATCACCGCCAAGCGGCACAATGGGCAATTATTTTATAAAGAGGGGATGCGGATATTGACAATGACGGTCAAGATGTACTGTTTTTTTAATATTTTTAAATAAGAGGCACTCACCAGAGAGGAAAAAGGGCACTTATTACAAATGAGAATTAGGGGCAAGTACCAGAAGGAAAATGGCACCACTTAAGAAGGATAAAGGAACACGTGCAAAAATAATAGGGTCACTTATCAGTGATGAAAAGGGGCACTTTTATAAAGATAAGGGGGGCATCTCTCAATTTTGAAAAAGGGCAATCACCGGAGATAAAAAGGGGCATTTATAAGAATAAAAAGAGGACCTTGTCAAAACATAAGGGACACCTCTCAGATTTGAAAAGAGGCAATCATAATATAAGAGGTGAATGGGCACTTATCAGAGGTGGTAAAGAGCACTTCTTGTACTTGAAAAGGGGCACTCACTTGAGATGAATAGGGGCACTTGTGATGATATAAGGGGGCACTTATTACAAAGCAAAATTGCCACTTGTTGTAGGAAAAGGGGCACCTATGAGATTTTAATAGAGGCATTTATTAGAGGTGGGGGTACGGGCATTTATGAGAAGGGGAGGTGGATATATATTTTTTTAAACAGGCATGTCTCAGAAGGAAAAAGGGCTCTTATTAGAAAGAAAGGGGGAACACGTGTTAAAATAAAAATTGGCACTTATCAGAGGTGAGAAGGAGCTCTCATCAAAGATAAAAAGGGGCACTTGTCTGAAGAGGATCGGGCACTTATTACAAAGGAAAAAGGCATATAGCCTATGTTAATGTAAAATGGGCACCTCTCAGATTTGAATAGGGCAATTATCAGAGGTAAAGGGGCATTTATCTGAGGTAAATCAGTACAGATATCTCTCAAGTACCACAATCTTTTCGTGATTATATGAAACAGTGTGAAGATAATGCATCTATGTTTCTAAAACCAACTTCAAACTCTGAGATCATTGATATTGTGTCATCTTTGAAACCATCTAAATCTAGTGGTTCTGATGATATTTCACCTAGAATTATAAAGGAGTGCATTCACCTTTTTATTGATCCCTTATGTAAAATCTTTAATATGTCTTTATCTCAGGGAGTTGTTCCAGATAAACTCAAGGTAGCTAAAGTGGTACCAGTATATAAAAAATCTGACCGTAAAAATGTTATTAATTATAGGCCAATATCACTGTTACCAATCTTTTCTAAAATTCTTGAGAAAATAATTTATAAACGCTTAAATGAGTTTTTATCTAAAAAGAATATCTTGATTCCTCAGCAGTGCGGTTTTCGTAAGCACTTCTCCACACAAATGGGTGTGTTTAATTTATTAAGTAATATCATAAAAGCTTTTGATGGAGACAAGTATTGTCTGGGGATGTTCTTAGATCTATCTAAGGCGTTTGATACCATTGACCATGGTATCCTCCTCAGAAAACTAGAGCATTATGGAATACGTGGTGTAGCATTGTCTTGGTTCCAAAGCTATTTGTTTGACAGATCTCAATTTGTTGTGGTGGATGGTAGTAGTTCCCAACTTGCTTCTATTAAATATGGTGTACCTCAGGGTTCTGTTCTTGGTCCCCTGTTGTTTTTAATTTATATAAATGATATAATACACTCGTCAACATTATTCTCATACTCCCTGTTTGCTGATGATACCAGCTTGCTGCTGGTTGATAAGAAGGCTGAAGATTTATTACTAATTGCAAATCAAGAGATTCAGAAACTGTATGCATGGTATTGTTGTAATAAGTTATTATTGAATGTTCAAAAGACCAAATGTGTTATTTTTCGCTCAAAGGGTAAAAAGCTTCCAGATGGTATTACTTTTCTTAATGTTGGAGGCCATGATGTTGCACTTAGTGAAAATGTTCAGTTCTTAGGGTTAACTATGGATGAACATTTATCTTGGAAGAATCATTTAGATGTTGTATGCACTAAGTTGTCTCGAAGTGTAGGTGTCATTTTTAGATTGAAATTTATTTTACCTGAAAGAGTGCTGATAACATTATATAATAGTATTATTCTTCCTTATTTGACATATTGTAATGTTGCCTGGGGAAACACTTTTAAGTCATATCTTGATAAGTTAAGAGTATTGCAGAAGAAGGCAATAAGGCTTATTACTAATTCTAATTATAAACATCCAAGTTCTCCATTGTTCCTTCGATTAAGAATGTTACCACTAAGAGGACTTGTGTCAATCAATTGCGTATTGTTTATGTATAAACTTCAGTTTATGCCTCATGAATGTACGTTAAAAGATTTATTCCGTAAAAACTCACAAATTCATAATTATAATACACGTCAAAGGGGTCTTATTCATCAGCCTTTTGCAAGAACAAATATCACTCTGACCTCTTTCCATATCTCTTGCATCAAAGAATGGAACAGTTTGCCTGATGATATAAAATATAGTACAACTCTTTGTAGGTTTAGAAGGTTATCTAAAACGTACCTACTTGGAAAACTGACATAATTCTACTTTGTATCTTAATAATTTCTCATTCTCAAATGCTTATAGACCACTAAGGACTGTGTGTGTGTGTGTGTGTGTGTGTGTGTGTGTGCGCGCGTGTGTGTGAATATTTTTTTGTGTTCTATATTCTGTAGCTTAGTTTGTTTCCATCCCTTGTATAAACATTACATTCTTTTTATTCACCTTGCCATATCGTTAATGTATGTATTTTGTTGACTATAGGGCCCCGCTCACAAGCTTAGCTTCTACAGGGGTCCTAAAACCATTCACTTAATGATGTACTATTACCAGTCTCTTTTTCATGTAAAAGATTATATCATGTTTTGTGTGGTTTTGAATAAATGAACTTGAACTTGAACTTGTAAAGGGGCACTTATCAGAGTTCGTTAGAGACACTTATAAGAATGTGGAACGGGCACCTATTTGAAATTTTAAAAAGAAGTGTTTAATTAAAGTAAAAAGGGGTACTTGAGGGTTTTTTGCTTGACTACAAATTTGGGAATTTAATTGTTTTCCAAAAAACGTATACAAAAGTATAATTTACAAAAAAATGAGAAAAAAAACCCGGAAAGTCATTTCACTTCAGTAACAATTGTAAATCACTGGTATTGAATAAGAAATAAACCACGTTTGAATTGTATTGGGGGGGGCAACTGCCCCCAAGCCCCCACCCTCATCAGTACGCCAGTGGGGAGTAGCATGATAAAATAAAACTTACTCCAAAAAAAAAATTTAAGTATAAAACGTGCAATCTCCATTCTGATAAAAGTTTAGAATGTTTAGTGTCAATAATAAAGTGTCCCTTTTATATATTAGTATGCATTCTAAGAGTGTTATATTTCTATGTTATTTTTAGCGTAATATTTTAGAGTCTTTTAGAACAAGATAACATACAATCATTGCATTTATTTTCCCCCATTACGTAACACATTTCTAGATCTGGATGAAGAGGCCGTAGATGACGTCCTGGCTGCTAGCTGGTTCTCACATGCGATCCACAATGCCGGTTCCTGGACTAAGAAGGCGGTCCACGATGCCGGGGATTGGACCAAGAAAGCCGCACATGATGTCGCGGGTGCTGTAAAGAAGGGGTGCGGTGTGGTCAACTCGCTGCCTTTTAAGGAGCTGGGTAAGTTAGTAGTATGAGTGAGTCAGTGGGTGTCTGATTAGTGGAATGAATGAATAATTGATTGATTGATTGATTAATTGGTTGGTTTATTGGTTTTGATCATCAAGTAGTGAGAGAGAAAGAGAAAGAGAGAGAGAGAGAGAGAGAGAAAGGGAGAGAGAAAAGAGAGAGAGAGCGAGAGAGAGTGAGAGAGAGAGGGAGAGAAGGAGAGAGAAAAGAGAGAGAGAAAGAGAGCAAGAGGGAAATTAAAACAAAAAGAGGAAAGACAAACAATTTGAAAAACAAGTGAACGGTCTTCATATGTCTATGTTTGGTGGCATATATTTGTTTTAAACTTAACGTAGTCGCAGAGGGAGGGAGGGGCGTACCCCCATGCCGGGCCCTTCGATCTGCCACTGCTGTTCTACTTAATTATTTTTCTCTTGATTTCACGACAGTTATGCGTAGGAATGAGGCTCTCCGCAAACGTGGGATCAGTGAAGACCAGCTTGCCGCTGCATTAGAAGGCTACAAGGGCCTCAAGCAAGTCTGCCACGTTGTGGGTTAAATATCAGTAAGTATATATCCATGGGTGTCGATCCCGGGGGGATGGGGGATATATCCCCCCCCCCAAAAAAAAAATAAAAAAAAAAAAATAAATAAATAAATAAATAAATAAATAAATAAAATAATATATATATATATATATATATCCCCCCAATAATTCACCATAAAAAAAAAATGAAGAGAAAAATTAACGATGAGAGCCCGATGAGAGTAGTTAATGGTTATTACTCGCAAGATGACCATCAATATACACATTTTGCTATCTCATTTTCATAATACATACATATAGAAATAGAAAACGAAGTAAATGAGACAACCGTATATGAGACAAGAATAAATTGAATTCTCGCTCATACGGCTTCATCAGGAATTGATGAATTTATTCAATTTATTCAATCAACAGCATCATAGAAATGCAGTGCGCCAAATGCAAAGCCGCAGCGTTAAAAAGCAACGAGCTAAATGTTAAGCGCGAAGCGCAAAAGTGCAAAAAAGAAGTAGAGAGTGGGAGAGAGAGATAATGAGAGACAGAGAGGAACCCAGGTAGCAAGCCCGTGTGGGACCCACATGGGTCCCATATTCTCTCAAACATGGCCCCATATGAAAAACCATCTGGGGCCCTAAGGCCTCTGCACCCAAGAAGCATATGGGTCCCATATAAGACAGATGGGACCCGGATGGGACCCATACCAAACTGGGCCCAAATGGGTTATGCCCAGCTTAATCCCATCTGGTACCCATTTTGGTTAACCCAGATATATCCCATGTGGGTTATACCCAGAATTTTCCCCATGTGTTACCCATATGGGCATATTCATATTCTGCCCATATGTGTACGCCCAGCTCATTCCCATCTGGGACCCATAAGGGCAGGCCCAGATAGATCCCATATGGGTTACGAAATATTGGCCCCATATGGGGTACATATAGGTTCCATTTAGCCCAGATGGCACAAGTGACCCAGATCATCCCCATATGGCCCCATATGGGCTTGCTACCTGGGAAAAGGGAAAAGGGGAAAAAACGGACAGAAGAGAAAAGGAAGAAAGACAAGAGAAAGACGGTTTTGTCCAAATGGCAGCATGTAGGAGATGAAACTTAATAAGCCAGATCAGAAATAGCTTCGGAACGCATGACCCCCAAATATCCACAGATCTTTTACACTATGGATACGTCCCACTTGTGCATTTTAGAATAATCACTGTCGAAGTGATGGAGGTGCTTCACGAATACCTTTTGTTTGCCCTCTTTAGAAGAATACTTCTACCTGTGTATCAGATAAATGTACTGTTGGTGCATAAATGAATACTGATAACATAACTTTCATGAGCACCATACCAGTATTCGTCTCAATGGTTTCACAATTTGGGACCGAATGACCTTTATCTGCACATGCGCAAATTCTAATTACGAACTCGCTTATTGTTTCCTGATTCATACTCGGTATCTATTTTGTTTTATTGATTTCATCCATTTCTTTGTTTATTTATATCTCTCAGTGGCGGATCCAGGGGGGGGGGGCACAGAGGGCACGTGCCCCCCCCCCCGGCCAAAAATATGTTAAAATCAGCTCTTAATTCGCTCAAAATGTACTGAAAAACAGGGGCGTGCCCCTCCCCCCCCCCCGCTCGGCCAATTTGTTTCTATTTTTTTAATTTATTTTTAAAAAATAAATAAAAAATAAAATATGCCAATGGCTAACCAAAAAAGGTGACCTTACCCCCCCCCCCCCCCAACGGAGCAAAATGTCAAATTTAAAAATTTCGTGATCAAAAAAAAGAATTGCCCTCCCCCTCCCCCCCCCCCCCCCCCCCCCTCTCGCTTATTCAGCGGCTGGCCGAGTCGTTGCGATTTTTTTGGGGACTAAACATTATATATATATATATATATATGTTCTCTTTTCCACCGTGTGCCCCCCGGCAAGAAATTCCTGGATCCACCCCTGTCTCTACATGTAAAACATATGAAGAGCTATTTTCCGAAAGGAGCAAAATCTTTTAATAGCAAATGGAAATAAGGATACACCTTTTCCTCTATTTACCTTGAACAAAATTATTAACCTAAATTACGAGAGAAATTATGAAAACATGCATCTTTTAATAACAATTTTCCATAGACACCTGAACAAAATCGGGTAAACTTAAAAAGTTCTTTCTTAAGTTACACACATGGATCTAGTGCCTCTTGAAAAAAGCTCTTTGTATGTACATAAACGAGCAATACAACAGAATACTCCAGTTCGATATTTTGAGAAAGATTATTATTTCACAATTTATTTTTGTTTTATTGAAAAGCTGATATAGGCCTTTGTATTGTATTCAAACGTAACAGGCATAAGATAGTTAAGGTGTTTTTGAAGGTTGAAGTTTTGTTTATAACACCCTTCCAATAATAATGCACCTTCTAAGACTGGTTATAGTTTTTGAAGAAAAAAATAGTGCTCTGGTCAGGGCCTTAGGGGAACATTATGCTTATATTTTAGAATTTAGAGCGTATCTGGTATGATAAGTATATCTGGGTGAAAAGGGAGATAATGGAAGTTTGTTGTTTGGTATAGTTGGAACGTAAGTTTTATATTATGTTTTTAAGAAACAGACAGTTTGTATGAGATCAGGAGTGGAAATTTTCTGTCTACATGAACCTTTCCTGGTTGTTTATTAATGCATTTGCCCACTGGTAACATAATACTTTCACAAGTTGATATCCCTCACCATTGGATTTTTTTTTGGTAATGTCTAAATTTCGTTTCAAAATAGATGATATCAGTCTGGTAGGCCTATACACTGCAGGCAAGAGTCAGGACTAACATTTAGCATGTTATTAATTTTATTACCACTCTTATATTCTCTGAAATGTTATATTTATTCAGAGTGACTTGAAAAAGTTAATAACTTGGAAATCAAAAAAAAAAAATCCAAGGGGGGGGGGGGGGGGTTTACACATATAAAAATACCAAAGGGGGAGTTTAAACCCCCCCCCCCCCCCCCCCCCCCCCCCTCTGTGTACGCGCCTGCACCCCTGTATATATCCATCTTCTTTTTCACAAGATTGCATGATGCGGCAATTTTTGACGCGTCATGTTGAAGTAAAATCACGATGTGGATGCAATTAAACAGTGCGAAAATTGGGTTGTGTTTATTTTACTAACAGTTACAGTTACTTGTACCGTGCTATATTGGAGGGCGTCAGTGCCTGATGCGGCTGTCTTTGACACGCCTTTGGGAGTAGCCTCATATACAAAGTGGATGCAAATAAACAGTGCAAACAAAATTGATTATCTAAAGCCTCGGTCACAAATGCCATTACGAACTGCTACGAACGCCGTACGAACGATTTTCAGACAATGGAAATTCGGGAAGACAATGGAAAAACAGGGAGATTCGTAAGAAATTATTGTCCGTACGAACCTTTGTGACCGTAGCATTACTGATGTCTTGTATCGGGGTAATTTGCCTGTACAATCATGCTTGATAACGGGTTCAAAATGACGTTCATTTGCAACTGACGTCAAAGTTTAAAAGTGTTGATTTATGTGTAAATATAGAATAGAAGCAGCCAAGAAAGAAATGAAAAGTGCTATTTGTGGGCAACACGGTCATGATCCCCAGATCTCTCTCTCTCTCTCTCTCTCTCTCTCTCTCTTTCTATCTCTCTCTCGCTCTCTCTCTCTCTCTCTTTTTCTTTCTCTCTCTCCGTCAAGTCTATATTCATTATTAGATTTTTATTTGGACATGTTGGATGTAATTGTTTGTCTTTCATGTTGCTATCAGATTATGAAGTAATATTATTATCGATAATCACTATTCATATTGCAGAAAGAGGACAAGGACGATTGAAAGGAAACACACGGAGCCCGCTTTCCTCATGTAAATTCATCAACATTTTGTCTGTTTATCATTTCCTCATACTCAGACACTTTAATTAAGCCTATGATGTCTGGTCGCAGTTGATTTACCGATTAGCAAAATCACTGCAGTTCTTAATTTTTGTTTTCCACTTCAAAATGAAATGTATTTAAAATCCAATAACGGAAAGGGATAAATATGAATGATTGACGTTTTGATGATCATCGTAAGTATACAAATTTAAGAACCCACCGATTCTTCCCCTCCGAATGCAGCTTGAAAAAAGTATGATGACTAAGAAACTCCCGTACTAATTTCACGAAACTTCAAATTTAAAATAATAAAGAATAATTTGTTTACATTCCATCAAAAAGAGTATTGCTGATCGTTCGTCTGAGGAGTAGATTATAATAAATTTTCGAGTAGAAAAGAAAATATGTGCATTGTTGTGTTATCTTTTGTGTGATACTGTGTGATAATGACAAATTATAAACTATCAAAGATGTGGGAGAGAGAGAGAGAGAGAGAGAGAGTAAAGATAGGGAGAGAGAGAGAGAAACATGAAAGTGAGAGAGAGAAAGAGAGAGAGAGAGAAAATATTTATAGGGCTTTCATGTGAACGATAAAATCCTGTTTCTCTTTTACCAGTCGATAATTCAGAGTACTATTACATTTGATTCCATTATCTGGTTTAATAATGCAAGGCAAAGTGACAAACAAAAGCTGAGAAGGGTTGTAAAATAAGCCAGCAAAATAATGAACCATACTGTTGACCTAGATGAAGTCTGTAAGGAAAGAGTAGTATCTAAGGCCCTATCCATTATGTCTGATCTTACCCACCCCCTTAATGACCAGTACATACACCTGAAAAGCGGACGAAGATTGAGATCTGTTAAAGCAAGAACTAGTCGCTGCATTAATTCATTCATTCCACTTTCCATAAGAGTTTTTAATGAAACCCAGTAAAGAGAAGAGAATGTGAAAACCATGCAAAATACCCTCATTGACATGTTACACGCTACTGTTATACTATATCAAGAAATAATTGTTAACACAAAATACCTACTTCAGATTAGAGCATATAAGAATACAAGAAAATGGAGGATAATGTAAGAAGAAAGAGAGAAGAAGAAGAAGAAGAAGAAGAAGAAGAAGAAGAAGAAGAAGAAGAAGAAAAGGAAGAAAAAAGAGTATTTAAATGTATATTCATCATGATCATGTATATTATATCAAAATATGTATACTAAAACAGGGCCCTATATGTCAATTATATGTTGTTCCTATGCTCATATGTTGAAGCAAGATTGTTCATGTGCATATAAACAATTATCCTATATGGACACAATAAAGAAATGAAATGAAATTAAATATAGAGCCCGGGTGTCACTCATACATAAATGCTGCCCAACCGTGTCCATCAACCTTTGACATGAATCCTAATGGCGTATCGCACCTTTTCTGAAAAGGACCCTAATGGCGTATCGCACGTTTTCTTAAATGCCCCTAATGGCGTTCGCCTATGTATTTCATATTTTCCGAAATGGACCTGCGAAACGTTTTTTCAAAGTGGGGTGGTAAGCGAGCAAAGCAAGTGGAGCATAAATTGGCGTAGGGTCCAGGGGCATTGCCTCGGCGGGGATCAAGTAGCGAAGCCCACGGAAGCTCAGGGGTTTTAGGCGATTAGGGAAAAGAGCGGAGTATAAACATGATGAGTATTTAGTCTCAATGTCTCACATTGTTTTCCTTGCACTAAAATATATATTCGAGATCATTTTATCCTGTGAATTTTCGTGTAAATATAATAATATGAAAAGAGCGCTAGCTATCACTGCTATACCCGATCCCATGCTCGGACCCTGCCACCCCTATACGTAACACTGTCATTTTTTCTGCAACAACAATTTTTCGAAATTGATTAAAGGTTGCCTAGTTGAGCAGAACATTATACACGCAAACATTTTAAAAGTGCCCAGGCTACCGAAATGCTTTCATGTATTGCCAAGTTCGTTAGCCAAATATTTGTGATTGATTCAATAAAGAGACCTTGGCAGTTTCTTCTTATTTGTCTAAAAAAGAGCATTTAAAAAAGAAAAAGAAGTGTCATATTCTATAGCAAAATAAAATGATGGTATACTGAGGCCTGGACCCCATGCCAATGTATGCTCCACTTGTTTTGGTCGCTACACTCTACCTGATAGTTACCTCCCCACTTTGAAAAATGTTTCGCGGGTCCATTTCGGAAAATGTGCGATACATAGGCCTACGCCATTAGGGGCATTTAAGAAAAGATGCGATACGCCATTAGGGTCCTTGTCAGAAAAGGTGCGATACGCCATTAGGATCCATGTCAAAGGTTGATGGACACGGCTGGGCAGCATTTATGTATGAGTGACACCCCCCGGGCTCTATATAGCCCTATAAATATTATTTTTTTCTCTCTCTCTCACTTTCATGTTTCTCTCTCTCTCTCTCTCTTTCTCCTCTCTCTCTTTCCTTCTCCTCTCTCTCTCTCTCTTTTTCTCTCCCCTCTCTCTCTCCCTATTTCGCTCTAGCTTTGCTTTCTCTTCCACTCTCCATCTTGCCCCCTTCTCAATCTCTCTCTCTCTCTCCTTTCTCTCTCTCTTTCTCCTCTCTCTCTCTTTCTTTCTCCTCTCTCTCTCCCCCTCTCTCTCTCCCGCCCTCTCTCCCTATTTCGCTCTAGCTTTGCTTTCTCTTCCACTCTCCATCTTGCCCCTTCTCAATCTCTCTCTCTCTCTCCCACATGTTTGATAGTTTATCATTATCACATAGATCACACAAAAGATAACACAAAACTGCACTTATTTTCTTTTGTACTCAATAATGCAGACGAACGATCAGCAAACTACAATATACCCGTTTGTAATGGAATGTAAACAAATTATTCTTTAGTATTTTAAATTTGAATTTTCATGAAATTAGTACGGGAGTTTCTTAGTCATCACACTTTTTTTCAAGCTGCATTCGGAGGGGAAGAATCGGTGGGTTCTTAAATTTGTATACTTACGATGATCATCAAAACGTCAATCATTCATATTTATCCCTTTCCGTTACGCAAATATATATACGGTGAGCTATGAAAGATTATTGGATTTTAAATACATTTTATTTTGAAGTGGAAAACAAAAATTAAGAATTGCAGTGATTTTGCTTATCGGTAAATCAACTGCGACCAGACATCATAGGCTTAATTAAAGTGTCTGAGTATGAGGAAATGATGAACAGATAAATGTTGATGAATTTAAATGAGGAAGGCGGGCTCCATAATGTTTTCTTTCAATCGTCTTTCTGCAATAAAGATATAAATAGTGATTATCGATAATATATTACTTCATAATCTGCCAGCCACATAATTATAAGAAAACAATTACATCCAACATGTTCAAATAAAAAAAGTCCAATAATGAATATAGACGTGACGAAGAGAGAGAGAGAGAGAGAGATAGAAAGAGGGAGAGAAAGAGAGAGAGAGAGAGATCTGGGGATCATGGCCGTGTGGCCCACAAATAGCACTTTTCATTTCTTTCTTGGCTGCTTCTATTCTATATTTACACATAAATCAACACTTTTAAACTTTGACGTCAGTTGCAAATGAACGTCATTTTTTAACCCGTTATCAAGCATGATTGTACAGGCAAATTAGCCCGATACAAGCAATGCTACGGTCACAGAGGTTCGTACGAACAATAATTTCTTACGAATCTCCCTGTTTTTCCATTGTCTTCCTGAATTTCCATTGTCTGAAAATTGTTCGTACGGCGTTCGTAGCAGTTCGTAATGGCATTTGTGACCGAGGCTTTAGATAATCAATTTTGTTTGCACTGTTTATTTGCATCCACTTTGTGTATGAGGCTACTCCCAAAGGCGTGTCAAAGACTGCCGCCCTCCAATAAAGCACGGTACAAGACAGTAGTCACTGTAACTGTCAGTAAAATAAACACAACCCAATTTTCGCACTGTTTAATTGCATCCACATCGTGATTTTACTTCAACATGACGCGTCAAAAACTGCCGCATCATGCAATGACGCAGCCCTGCGTCTCCAAAAAGCAGGCACGGATCCAGGATTTCTTAGAGGAAGGGGCCCAACTTCTTTTTTTTTTGCTCCCGAAAATTGAAAATCGCGCCGGCCGAAAAGTCGCTCAGTGGGGGGGGGGGGGGGGGGGGGGGGGGGGGGGGGGGGGGGTCGTGAGGAAATTTTTTTGGGGGGTCCTCGAATATTTAAAAATTTGCACCCCCACCCCCTTTAGCGCAACCCCACAAAAAGGTAAAAAATCACGTGTTTTTACATGATTTTTTTTTCTCAAGGCCCCCCCCCCCTGGATCCGCCACTGCCAAAAAGACGCTTCGCGTGCGTGCAACGCGGGCATAAATCTACTAATCATTAGACTTTATGAAAAAGAAGAAGATGGATATAATTATACTTACTGATATTTAACCCACAACGTGGCAGACTTGCTTGAGGCCCTGGTAGCCCGCGTACAAGCCAGCCTGGTCTTCACTGACCCCACGTTTGCGGAGAGCCTCATTCCTACGCATAACTGTCGTGCAATCAAGAGGAAAATAATTAAGTAGAACAGCAGTGGCAGATCGAAGGGCCCGGCGTGGGGTACGCCCCTCCCTCCCTCTGCGACTACGTTAAGTTTAAAACAAATATGTGCCACCAAACATAGACATATGAAGACCGTTCACTTGTTTTTCAAATTGTTTGTCTTTCCTCTTTTTTGTTTTAATTTCCCTCTTGCTCTCTTTCTCTCTCTCTTTTCTCTCTCATTCTCTCCCTCTCTCTCTCTCTCTCTCTCTCTCTCTCGCTCTCTCTCTCTCTTTCTCTCTCTCTTTCTCTCTCTCTCTCTCTCTCTCTTTCTCTCTCACTACTTGATGATCAAAACCAATAAACCAACCAATTAATCAATCAATCAATCAATTATTCATTCATTCCACTAATCAGACACCCACTGACTCAATTACTACTAACTTACCCAGCTCCTTAAAAGGCAGCGAATTGACCACACCGCACCCCTTCTTTACAGCACCCGCGACATTGTGTGCGGCTTTCTTGGTCCAATCCCCCGCATCGTGGACCGCCTTCTTAGTCCAGGAACCGGCATCGTGGATCGCATGTGAGAACCAGCTAGCAGCCAGGACGTCATCTACGGCCTCTTCATCCAGATCTAGAAATGTGTTACGTAATGGGGGAAAATAAATGCAATGATTGTATGTAATCTTGTTCTAAAAGACTCTAACATAACGCTCAAATAACATAGAAATATAACACTCTTAGAATGCATACTAATATATCAAAGGGACACTTTATTATTGACACTAAACATTCTAAACTTTTATCAGAATGGAGATTGCACGTTTTATACTTGAAATTTTGTTTGGAGTAAGTTTTATTTTATCATGCTACTCCCCACTGGCGTACTGATGAGGGTGGGGGCTTGGGGGCAGTTGCCCCCCCCCAATACAATTCAAACGTGGTTTATTTCTTATTCAATACCAGTGATTTACAATTGTTACTGAAGTGAAATGACTTTCTGGGGGTTTTTCTCATTTTTTTGTAAATTATACTTTTGTATACGTTTTTTGGAAAATTATTAAATTCCCAAATTTTTAGTCAAGCAAAAAAACCCTCAAGTACCCCTTTTTACTTTAAATAAACGCTTCTTTTTAAAATTTCAAATAGATGCCCGTTCCACATTCTTATAAGTGTCTCTAACGAACTCTGATAAGTGCCCCTTTACCTCAGATAAGTGCCCCTTTACCTCTGATAATTGCCCTATTCAAATCTGAGAGGTGCCCATTTTACATTAACATAGGCTATATGCCTTTTTCCTTTGTAATAAGTGCCCGATCCTCTTCAGACAAGTGCCCCTTTTTATCTTTGATGAGAGCTCCTTCTCACCTCTGATAAGTGCCAATTTTTATTTTAACACGTGTTCCCCCTTTCTTTCTAATAAGAGCCCTTTTCCTTCTGAGACATGCCTGTTTAAAAAAATATATATCCACCTCCCCTTCTCATAAATGCCCGTACCCCACCTCTAATAAATGCCTCTATTAAAATCTCATAGGTGCCCCTTTTCCTACAACAAGTGGCAATTTTGCTTTGTAATAAGTGCCCCCTTATATCATCACAAGTGCCCCTATTCATCTCAGGTGAGTGCCCCTTTTCAAGTACAAGAAGTGCTCCTTACCACCTCTGATAAGTGCCCATTTACCTCTTATATTATGATTGCCTCTTTTCAAATCTGAGAGGTGTCCCTTATGTTTTGACAAGTTCCTCTTTTTATTCTTATAAATGCCCCTTTTTATCTCCGGTGATTGCCCTTTTTCAAAATTGAGAGATGCCCCCCTTATCTTTATAAAAGTGCCCCTTTTCATCACTGATAAGTGACCCTATTATTTTTGCACGTGTTCCTTTATCCTTCTTAAGTGGTGCCATTTTCCTTCTGGTACTTGCCCCTAATTCTCATTTGTAATAAGTGCCCTTTTTCCTCTCTGGTGAGTGCCTCTTATTTAAAAATATTAAAAAACAGTACATCTTGACCGTCATCGTCAATATCCGCATCCCCTCTTTATAAAATAATTGCCCATTGTGCCGCTTGGCGGTGATGCGGATTTTTTTCTGCCCCCCCTCTCCACCCCCTCCTCCCCAACAACAAAAAAGATTGTACTCATTTAATACGTCAGTGCTACGCCTAGTGTTTTGTAAAAATTATTATTGCTTTCTCCCTCACCTACCCTCTCTCTCTCTCTCTCTCTCTCTCCTCTTTCCTCTCTTTCGCTTTATTTCTCTATGCCTTTCAATTTTACATTCCCTTTTTCCTCTCTACCTTTCTCTCTCTCTCTCTCCCTCTCTCTGTCTCTCTCTCTCTCTCTCTCTCTCTCTCTCTTATTCTCTCTCGTCTTTGGAACTTACACGTTTGGAGGTCCCCGTCATCATCGAAGAGATGTTCCAAGTTGGCCGCAGTCACGTGAGCGATCACCAAACCAAGGACCACCATGGTAGCGAGAACGGTGACTTTCATTTTCAAAGATAATCTGTGAAAAAGTGTTAAAATAGAAGGAACAATAAATTATTAAATGATTTTCAGAACTATTTTTTAGATCTTAGATTCATACCATGATAAATGATATTTTAAGAAACTTCAATCAACTTTTAATTGAATGGAAATCATGATTAAGTGTTTGGCATAGGCGGGGGGGGGGGGGGGGGGGCTGGAGCCGTCATCCAAGAATTTCAAAATGATAAATATCCCAGCGATCATCGCTAAACATCCGGCAGCAAGGTAGTCTATTTTTTTTTAAGTCTTTGATATATTTTGTAACAACACTATATATTTTCACTCGCTCGCATGCAAAATCGAGCATATGAAATTGTGATAATTATTCGAGCTAGAGATTCAGCCCTGCTAACCCTCAGATAAGACGTTACGTCCTCCCACCTTCCCGTGTAGAGGGGAGTAACCACCTTTGCACGTTAAGAACCCGCTGCACTATTCGTAGTAAGGGGAAACCCCGGTGTAGTGGTCCACCTGCAAACCCTTAATCAGTTATAGTCGGAAGGAGAGACCCGAGGGTTACAGAGATTCAGTTCGCTTTTCGCCTCTTAGGCGCAGGTGATGACGCCAAACAATAAAAAATTACATAATGATAATACTTGGAATTAAGGACACTAAAATATGTTATTCCCGTGAAAGTGCCCCTCGACATAATGATATTAATAATTGTATGTTTAATGTATGGTGGGCGGTATGAAAATAATTCTTAGTATCCTATTGAAAATGACTATTGATATTTCCCCCTTACAAAAATTATTTTCTTGACACTCCCAAGAATTTTTTTCTAACATTCTTAGCCGATAATGATTAACTTGATTCAAATAACTCTCACGACCATATCAAAATGCTCAACAAAATAATTGTTAACATGTTTAAACGCCTTTTTGTTAAATGTAAAAATATCAGAATTAAATCATTTTCTCATCAACAGATCGAAGAGACGAAGTTGAAAGAACGTCGATTTGATTCGTCAAATTGTTTATTACTTTCGCATCCTACCGAGCAACAATTATCACCGGTGAGGAGAGGAACAAAAGTTTATCAATGTTTTGCCAAAGGACATTAGTGTCTGGATGGGATGCGAACCCTACACCCTTGGATTGAGAGTCAAGTGAATGAACCACTATACCACGACACCTCCATGACTGTTATCACTTACCAATCCAGGAACGGTCAGATGAAGACTGTTGAAGACGATGGTTTAGAGATCTCTAGAGTATGGTGCAAGAAAGGTTGGTTCTGTTACTCTTGTCGAGGTCCTGACTGGCGAATGGTTGGTTTCCTTTGCAGGACCCCGTTTATGCTTTTTTCCCTCTCGGTGCAGACACTGGCGCAGCCTTGGCATAGACAGGATGTGGACATGGGCGTATGGCGGACCGTATGGCCACAGGTAAGATGATCCTGTCCCGGATCCTGACTTGACATGATGCTCGATCAGTCCCCACCAGAACAAATCTTATTGATTTCTTTTCAGAAATCTTACTTTTTAAAGATTGAAAAACCATCTAAATGTACTTTTAAGAAAGGTAGGAGAAATCTTTTCGACCTTTCTTATACAAATAAAATGATCAAGAGAGACGAGCGAAATATTTCATTTGCCTCCAGTGTTTTGTGCCCCTTGCCCTATGACTCTGCCGATGGCATTAGAAAACAGAAATACATATTTTATCCTAATTATATTTTTACAAGGGTCTACCACAACTCTTTACTAATTTGTCAAGTATCATTTTATTTAAATGATAGACTTACAGTCTACCGAAATACTATGTAGGTCGATTCTGTTTTCACTTTTAAAAATGTTTATCTTATAGGTTTTCTCAGTTTTTATACCGTATAATGTTAAAACGATATTTAGTTGACATACATAGTGTACATGAGAGCTTTTTCTTCAATAGTGATGGAGAAAATATTCATAGTAGCATATTCAGGCGAAACCCAAGTTTGAATACCGTAAGTACATTTAATACAAATGCGCAAAAGGTGTGTAAGTATGAGTCACCCCGGCCGAATAGGGACCTGAAACCCGAAAAATATATAGTAAAACCTTTTAGTTCTTGCTTCCTTGATTATGACATATTTCGGATTTGTACCCCACCCCAACCACCCGCTTTGCACTTAGAATCATGAAAGTGCCACTTAATTGAGTCTAACCCCTCAACTTAATAATACAAACATGCCGCCTCCTTACTTATGAATAGTTCTTCTTCTTATAATTCAGTACCTCTTATCCGGTGAAAGCGATATTCTATCTATCAAAATAGAGACTTAACTCGCGACACCATTGCTGGTATCTCCTCTGTTACAAGGCTATCTGATACCAAACATTATACCGGTAGTTGTACTTTATCATTCACTCAATTATTATCATCCCGCTCTGCAACACTGCAATTCTTCATAATTCTATGCTTTTCCACATAAAGTTCAATATAAAATTGCAGTTGCGTTAATGGCTATGTAAATGTTAGGATGAAGAAAGAAAAAAAAAAATCGACATTAATGGATCAGTACATCAGTAACTCCAGGGGCTCATTGCCTCGGCGGTGGTCAAGTGGCGAAGACCCGGAAGCTCGGGGTTCTAGGCATTGAATTACGGTCAGATAACCATATTTTGATACCTAATTTGTGACATTAGCAGATCGATAATTGGAGTGGGGTCCAGGGGGCTGAGCCCATGAAGCTCAATGGTTTTAGGCATTTAATTACGGTCAGATGACCGCCCCCGGCCTGCACCCCCACCCACCCCTCCCGCTTCCGGCGCCCATGAAATCAACAGGAAAGAAAAAAACTAATTAATTCAAATCGGATTTAAAAAAGTACGTTCGGGTGAGGGGTGCCATATATTATTCTCTTTAAAAAAGAAGAACAAAGAACCCCCTTCCAATCCCTTTGGAGGAGAGGGTGGTAGGAAAATCCAGGGACTGTACAGCGCTAACTGTAGAATATTAAGTTTTAAAGAATACCTAACGTGCCAATTTCTACACCACAGTTAATTTTTATTCATTTTATACTGTTTAGATCTACGGTTTGAAAAAGAAGAAGTTCGAGATTGATTCGAATCTGATGCAATTTACACCGGATCGGGGAACATTCTGTAAAATATAGCGGAATGCGTTTAATACACGACTTACTATTGGGTAAAGAGTAGACCGGTATCAAACTATTCACCAATAAGATTTTGGCTTACATATGCAATCCTCATGCAGGACGTGACCGAAATTACCGAAATCATCATGGCACTCGAAGACGAACAAATCATGGCCGGAAATCCTCCAGAGGTGAATTTTCTTTGAAATCAATTATGATTATTTAATCATTTTGAAGCTTAAATGTTAAGTTATAGCATGGTTTGAAAATTATATCGTTATTTGTTGTTGAAATTCGTATTCAGAAGAAGAAGATTTGGGGGTTGTGAAATAGTCGTGGATGGCGCTTATTCCAAGCCCCATGCCTTGAGATATGCGTAGGGTAAACTGGGTGATCCGACCTTTGCACTGCACTGCCTGCGCCTGAGGCTGAGCCCCGGCTTAAATTTTTGCAGTCCAGGTTTTATTTCGTCAAAGGTTTAGGATTAGAGTGATGATTGCGATTAGGATAATGCAAGGTTTAGGGCCTTGTTAGTGTTTAGGCCGAAATTCACTTAGTCTATTTGATCTCATAATCATATAGAATCATATGAAGCTGGACTCCTGGAGCGTGTCTTGCAAAAAAAAAATATTTTGCTAATTATGCATCATGCATGCAGTCTGTCTGTGCATGCCATCTGTGCACTGAAATTTTGGCGGTAGTTCAGAAGTCTATCTAAACTTTGACCCATAACTTTGGCGTGGAGATACCCTACTAAAACATACCCAAAATGAAATAAATATTCATCAAAAAATGTCCAAATAAAGGTCATGATTTAAAAGTCGATATAAATAATACCTGTTTCGTGTCAATTTTCTTATCTTTTTCAGAGTATTTTTCCTAAAAACGAAGACTTGTAATATGCACATTCTCACAGGATTCATGCCAAACTGCAGCACAATACAATTGCATATCGTACCGGAGCACTAACTAGGGTGTCTGATCATGCACTCAGTTTTGTGTGCTAAAATCCTTCCAATAGAGATTGCACACATCCCTATTCAGTCCATGTGCATTGCAAAATTGGTCAATGTTTTTATTACCAAAATGAGATTAAAACCAATCTTGCTCGTGATCCTGATGGTGAAACTCAATAAGTGAGGTGTCGTATGAAAGAGCAGGTTTTTCTCCATATTCCCCAAAGGGGCTCACCCCCAAAATTCTAAAAATATCTTTATCAAAACAGCGATTTAAACATTTTTTCATGGTAACTCAGAGATTTACCAATTTCACGAAGTGAGCCCCCGAGGGATAAGTTGGGCCAGCTGTAAGGAATATATCCATGTGCTTATTTTTTTCTCTAGTCCCAAGGGATCACGAGCAGTTACTGTTTGAAAATACCCTTACTCCACACTTTGCATAACGTGCTGTGCAGCTTTTGAGCAAAAATTATAACTCGGTGTGTACCACTTTTTCATCCATTCTGACCAAAATGCTATGAATATTGACTAGATTGGGGGGGGGGGGGCTGTATCTTTTGATAGAAACATCGGTGAGTCTTAAAATTTGAAATGTGTAGTTCTGAGTAAATGATTTTTCCAAATATCCAACCATAATGGTGACAAAACGATCCAAAAGGGAAAATTGAAAAATCGTCCAGACACTCTACTATAACACTGAGTTTCAATAAGACATGCTGTATATTTATTCAGATGGTCATATCTCGGCCAATACTTAATATATTCAATTGTTTTTCGACATTTGGACATTATTTGTATGCTCTTTCAGAAAATGAAGAAAAACTTGAGAAATTCAAAAAATAGATTTTTGATGACGTCACACTTAACCACTCTATTGTCTTTTGATTGTCTTCATCTCTTCTTTTGATAGGACGAAGAGGAGGAGGAAGAGGAGGAGGAGGAGGAGGATGAAGATCTTGTGGTAAGTGTGAATTTATCGCCATTCCCTTATTTATATGTATCTAGATACATTCAGAAAAAGCTGTTCTAAATCCTTACTAATACGAAGAAAAAAAAACACCAGTTCAGTATGTGGGTCTGGGTCAATGACAGCCATGTTTTACCTCCATAATTTTTTTAAAATCACTGGAGGGCTAAGCAATTAGGCTGTGGACAGCTTCTGTAGCCTCATACATGTCTCTGTGAGTAACTCGCTTACAAGAAGATACCGTCACTGCAAAAAGTTTTTCAGATGTATAGAAAATTTCAAAATGTTTGACAGTCCAAAGTTACATGTAATTATCCATAGATGTGTTGTGGTAATGTGGATAAGTCATCTGACTGAGAACCACAAGGTACAGGGTTCAAATCCCTGCCACAGCTGTAACGTCCTTTAGTAAAGCATTAATCTACATTAGCATTACTCACACAGGTGAGGTATGTGTAAATGGGTACCTGGTCGGAGTACTCCTTTGATACAGGATACCTAAGATACGTAAAGCCGGGTAATAATTTCAAACGCTCTTTGGAAGCACTTAGGGATGGTATCATAATGTGATATGAGCTATACAAGAACAGAAAGACCGTTCATGGAAGACAAGAAAAGCAATCTGTATAAGCAGTCTGTATACCGATAGACAGGTTTCTTTAATACAGGTTTCAATGAGAAGTGGCTTTGGGGGCATGAAAAATGTGGTCTTTCTATCAGGTGATCACTACAGCCTGGGCCCGTTTCATAAAACTTTTTATAACAACTGCTAAATTTCTATGACAATTTTGCTCTCGGCCAATCAGATGCCATGATTTTGGTAGCTTATAACAGTAGCTTGTAACTTGTTATTGATATCAAGTTTTATGAAACGGGGCCCTGTTTGATGTTTTGTGTGCATTGTTTATGTTTACAGGACCCAAGAGATAAGATCAGGGAGGATTGCGAGGCAACAGGACACTGTGCCGCCTTGAAGGAGACCTTTGATGCCTGCACAGACCGTGTCAGCGCCAAGTCTAACACAGAGGAGACATGTACAGAGGAATTCTTTGACTTCCTTCATTGTGTGGATCATTGCGTGAGTACCGATGACTATAGATTAAAGCCCCACTGCCCCATACTTATAACTACTTGAGCCCTCTATATAGCAAACGATGCCTATGTGGTGCCTGTTGGTCCCCCATGGTCCCCTTTTTCTTATGTTAATTGAGAGCTGATTTGATGAGATAGCCACCTGTCGGTGATCTTGCAGGGAGGTCTAATTCCCCCCTTCCCCTGGCCAAACTAATGCAGACAGGCTTTAAGATTGAGGTGCTCATGACCCTTGTCAGTCAGTATCAAACCCTGTTCTAAATCATTTTTGTGGTTGTACTGCCAAATAAGTATTGGTGTGTACTGCAAGGTTCTGGAATCATCAAAATGATAAGAAATTTGACCTAGTATTTGTAAAGTTACAAGCACTGTACACAGAAAGATGTATATGGGACTACACACACATGCGCGACACATGCGTTTATCTCTCACATACCAATAGATAAACTAATTTACCAAATTATATCAATTAGTAGGTGGTTTCCCGGCAAAATTGTTATCATCATGTATTAGTCAAAACATATTCTTTCACATGATTGGCAATAAGAGCTTCCATTTCATTTTTTTAAATTGGGGCGTTTCCAATACTGGTCTTTACCTTTAATGTGATGTACATGTACATGTTAACCTATATTCATTACCCCAACCATGGACCTATTACGGATGGACATTCATTGTTTTCTTAACGAATTCATTGTGATTGTCTCCGTCAATGACGTCTCAATAAAATTCTGTACATGTTTCTTCCCTTTGGTCTCATCATGGTCTCCGGCAAAAAGCCGGGACAGAATCAAGATAGTGAATTTACACATGTTAATCTACATGCGCAGAAGATAATTACTTGCCTAAATCGTGGAAAATAGATGTGCAGTTCTGGCTTATAATCGGAAATTGTTGTTCCGTGTACTGTACATGTATTTTTTTTTGAAAAACATGTTGATATGACCAGATGGAGGTTATTTTTGGATTTTTTGGTTGTGATTTAAAATCCTGTTTCCCCCTATTTCCTCATAATATTCCAGAGTTACAACGCACAGGGCTGATATAGATCATGGCCTTCTAATTGTTTTATAAGGTCATAGGTGTGTGCGAAAGTTTGCGAATCAGTAATAATACATTTCATATCACCAAAATCATCTGCTTTTCAACTTTGCTGCTCCCCATTGAGGATGCTTTCATTTAAGACACACTCTTACAGAGCACACCATCCAAACAATTATTATTTCATTATTTATGATTTATTTACTATGTACTGTTTATACCTGGAAGCATTTAAAAGTGTTAAAGCATATAATTATATTTTTATGTCTATGGAATTTTTTTTACCTTGTAAATTCACTTGCATCAGCCTCCAGCTGTATTGTTGAATATTTGAATAAAACCTTATCAAATCAAATCAAACAAAACCCAAGAGAGGGAAACTGTTCCTTTATCAATGAACGAAAATGCTTACGCAGTCGTTATTGTTAAAACAGCTGAATGTTCTCATTAAGATGCACATAATCAGAAGGCGGCGACTATGATTGGATCAAAGAAAGAATCACGTTGAATGTCCATCCGTATTACGTCCATGCCCCAACTCTATCAATATAACATCGAAAGTGTTCCTTATTCAGCTCGATTCAGGATTGTTTTTATAATTTTTTTCTTCTTTTCCTTATCTTTCCTGCAGACTGCACCACAGACGTTCAAGCATTATAAATAATGGCCATCATGGAGTGACCCTTCTCACTCTACAACTTGTGTATCACTAGCTCTGCCCTGTTGCCATGACTACAAAGATGTCCACACTTCCAGCATTACCAAACATCATCTGCATCTTTTAAATTTCATCTCCAGAACCACATCTTTTCTATTGCAAATGTTATTTGAATGTAGAGCAATAAAATTATTGGAGGGTGTATGCGACTTTAATGAAAAGCTCATAGAAGGATTTGTACTGATATGAGGAGCATCTGCATGTTGTTTTCCCTTGCTCTCTTTTAATTCAATATTCTCTCTTGTCTTTGTTGAGCAATGATTGCAATGTTGAAAGAAGGGGATAAGTTGAAACTCCAGCATATTATTTCCTGTATGCAATGTTGTACAATGCCCTGCCTGAATATTTCAAGGCCAGTAGTGTAGCTATTTCGATCCCTCATCCTCTATATCCATATTTATGATTCAGAAAACATTTGTCGGTGATCATGGCTGTACTACCAAACCATTTAACACATTTTATTAGAAAGTGACCATTTCCATGGATTTAGGATTGCTTAAAACCAGATGTGTCAATGAAGTTTTGATAAGTTGTAGAAGTGTGGGGATGATTTCCAGTAATATTCACTTCCCTCTGTAAAATAATTGGACATATGTTCCTCTTTGAGATGATTTTGTTTACCGGTCCAGAGTGAATTTGAAGGAGTATAATTCTGTGATTTGTGAATATAACAGATAGGAATTTACATTCTCTTGTGTGAATGGATTTTTGGGGCATGGCAAGCTGGATTGTTTACTAGTTTAGAATTTGTGCAAAGATGAATTATATGTATTGTTATGAAATTAAATATTGAAGAAAAAAAATCTATGCAATGGCTGGATATTTACTCAACTGAGTAGTGTTAGATTGTATGATAAGCTGTTAAAGGGACTTGGTAACATTGTTCAGATGAGAAAAAATGGTTTGGAAAATTCAAAAGTTGGTTGGGAGAATTTACTTTTAGAGGGTGTCGCACAGTGACGCCTTAAAAGAAAACCATAAACATCTTTGTGGTTTGAGAACTTTGTGCATGTTAGAGGGTTAGTACAGTAGAAGGAATATAATAATTTCATAGAAAAATTCTGAATTTCTTCCATCAACCTTCAACAATGTTACAGGTTCACTTTAATACTCGTATCTGTCATGGTTGTAGTGAAATTGATCTCGAGAAAGAAGAGATAATTTGGTTTTCTGTGATCCAAGGAAAGATGGAGAAGAGAGGAAATTGAAAGCACAAGTGGAAGAAGAGAATGAAAGAAAGAGAGAATGGGAAGTGAAAGAAAAGAGAAGTTGGAGAGATAGAATGAGGATGAGGTGGAGAACAGCAGAATGCCCAAATCTTTGGGAGAGATTTAGTGTTTGTGGTTGTCTTTACTACAAGTCCTTCACATCAGTTCATACAAAGTAAATGATGAACATGTAGTTTATCAACGACAAAAAGGATAACAAAATTCCATTAGTGGATTTTATTATTATTATTTTTTTTTTTTGGGGGGGGGGGGGACACACAAGTGACCCATACCCCTTTTGAAACCCGAGCAGCATACCTTTAGTAAAAAAATCCGAGAATGTGCCTCCCCTTCTTTTGAGATGGTACCTTTTTTTTGGGGGGGGGGCGGATTTTAGGAAAATTGTGCCCTCTCTTGCACAGTCATGCATCTGCAACCTATTACCATATCTCTTATTCAACTCCTCACACACAGTCCTCTACAACAGGCTAGACCCTGTTTCATGAAACTAAGTGTTTTGCAATACTTTTTTCATGCAATACAATTCATATAATTATTGAAAACATAGCATGTCATCAGCTGCCGATAACTAGCCAAATATCATGACACTTGTTATTTTTCAGTTTTATGAAACTGGATCTATGTTAGTACTACACCATAGTAATTGCAAATGTAAAACTGTGTCTGCCAAAAACCAATTGTTTATTATAGTCAATCAAGCGTGAAAAACATGATCGGTATTGGTTCAGAACAAAATACATGTTAATTGAATTAAACTCAACATTATTAGTTTACAAACTGCAAATGCACAAACTAGCATGAAACCACACAATGTATACTAGCAATGCAGCAACTAAATGAACTGCAAATTACATGTAAATTAAAATCCTTGTCGTGTCTTGCAGTATATGTGATGAAGAAAGAAAAAGAAAAGGACAAAGTATTCATGTTTTGTAGAATGTTATGAAGTCAGGGGGAGGGGGGGGGGGGCGGTAGCATATCAGATGAATAGGACATTTTCGTAATGCAACCAAATTTAATTGACTTGATACAAATTATTTCATTCACCTGTTGCAAATAATTGTATTTTAATAGTCAGTATGCAAAAAACATAAATATATTGCATGTTGTTAAATAGGGCAAGCTATTCTTTTTTTTAGGGGGGGGGGGGGCGGGGGGTTATAGCTAGCAACAACTAATGCATGCAATTCCCATTTTGACTATTGAAATACAATATTTTGTAACAGGTGAATAAAATAATTTGCATCAAGGTACTTTACCAAGACGTATGCATTAAATTTGATTATTTTATGAAATTGGCCCAGTGGAAAGCAGTAGCATGCAATAGAAAAGCATTGGCAAACATCTTTCATATAATGTAGTTCATGCCTCTACAATCTTATTTATTTATTTCGTTTTATTTCAACAGGGTATGACACACACTTTCTCAAAGTTATGCAAGAATCTTCAAGGTTGAAGGAAGCAGACTTCACCGAAGCAAAAGAAGAACATCACAAGCGATTAATTTCTATGGTTAGTCCATCTGACAAGATGCGATGAACTGCATAAAACCACTGTGGCAATATTTTATATGTAAATAAATTTCCAAGAGGCAATAATAAATATGTGTGGAGGAGGGGAGGGGGGGGGGGGGGTTAAAGACCCTATCCGATGAAAATACAATGTTATATCAATGGAAAGCTGAAAGAATATAGAATACAAATATAAAGAAATTTAAAATATTTTCCCTTTCAATATTGCACAAAAGCGATTTAAAACCTTTTTTTCTGCACCTCTCCAAATTACAGGTCAAGAGGGTTCAAATTTGCCGCAGTTACAGTGACGACATAATATGTGCACCCATCGGCTTGCCTATATAGCCGAGGCGATGAATCGTGCTAAAATAATGCAAAGTCATTGTGAATATGCGTACTCCACACACTATGATGATTTTATTAAGTCAACAACTCCTGATTTTCCAAGCTTCAGATTTTGAGTTTTCAGAGAGCTGTTACTCGTCTGACAGGCTCTAAAGTACTATATAATAGGTATTTTTGTAATCTATGGCTTGTAAGCTTTAGTTTCCTTTCATATATAACTCATCTATTTCATTTTCACTTCCAACAGGGTCTTTAAGTAAAATAAATGCTGAAGATTCAAGACATGACTTAAATGTGATACAAATTTACACAAAGAAATAATCACACCATGATTTCTCTATGAAAAATTGAATGACTGCTCACCTAGAATACCAGTAAGATCCAAATTTGGTTGGTTAACATTTTTGCACATTGCACAGCAAAATATAATCTATATCTTTCAATCTGATATCTTTCTAAATAGAGTTTGCAATGCCCAATGCTTTAGCAAAATTGGCTACTTTGTAAAAATGCAACAAGTAAATTTGGAAGAATTGCATGATTTCTTTAAATGTGTGTGTGTGCTGTATAAAGTTATAAACTCTGAATATCTTAACTATAATATACATTATTACTGCCACAAGTATATTGCAATACTTCACTATATAACCTCTACCGATAGTTATAAAACTTTTGTTAACAGACATGATTTTAACACATTCAATCTGTTGTTATTGATCATTTCATTACATCTTCTGCAACAAATGTAGAAACTGGGGAATGCTATTTAAACTCACATTTCACATATCGTCACCTTCTTGAAATAATGGCCAAAGTCACATTTTGAAGAAAATTATATTTTTACCCAATTCATCTCTTCATGAGGCTATCCACCTTTGTTAAATGGCATATGTGCTGAATAGTACATATTCATGTAGACAGAAATAACCGTCTGGTATGGGTCATTTCTTTAATAAAACTGACATTTGTTGACATTCCCCAATACATAATCTATAATCGGAGGTCTAGTGGAACAACTGACAATATAGAGAGACTGAAGCTTTGGTATAATATTCATGCTGCTTACACCCAGATAGTATAATTGCCTAAGTCAAGCATTTAAAGAAAAAAAGTATACCGGTATATATTATTGAGTAAACCCAAAGTAACTGAGTAATCTAATCCTCTTATGAAACCTGATTCGACAGACAGAGCTATTTGTATTTCATTAGTCATATATCCCCAAACCTTTATGTGTGAAATTCGATGTTTGGTTCAGTTTTCTTTTTTTCCTTAAAACTTGAAAATATGACTTGGGCCATTATTTTAAGAATATGACAACATGACAATGTAGATGTCATGTACATGTGTGTATGTACTTGGTGCATACATTTCCATTGAACAGTGAGAGTAAACATTTTGAATATTAACAAAAACTTGTAATCGCAAGGGCAAAAGCCCCAGTGATATAGAATTGTTTTTACATTAACAAAATGTAAAGATAAAATCATGAAACATTCAGAATTCATAAGCAGCATTTAAGTCTCCCCCAAATCTTTTAAAAGCACATTTTGCTGAAAAAATGTGAAAATGCTACACAAAATTTACTTCTGGTAATAGCTAACAAATTAGTTCCCTCAAACACCCAAAATCTAACATCTTGCTTTAAAGATAGTATGTCTCTTTTGCAGCCAACATCAAATTCTATAGAACTTTGCAGGAATTACGAATATGTCATGTATGTTCTATCTGTGAAATTTAAACGTTAGCAGTGTCCTAATATTCAAATTATGCAAGGACACCAGTTTACTTGCTAGACTTCACTGTCAGACACTATTGAGTGACTGACTGGCTTTTTTTTCTTCTTTGGTAATAACATACCGTACATAAAATGAACTGTCAAGGGTACATATAATAATGAGCATTTGTCTACATCAATAACCCACTTCTTGTAATGGCCAAAATTAAACTGATTGAATCTTTGCACAGCATAAAACGTACTACCATTCGGTACAATGGTCTGAAAATCAGACTATTACTTACTGGCTCTATAGCTCTTAAGTCGATTCAACATCTAATAGTAGCATTTTCCCACTTAAAGACATTTTCAAGACCCCTTTTTTTAGGGAAGTCCTGAATTAGTATTATCTTTCAAATGCCATTGGAATTTAACCTTTTAATTTTGTTGGCCTGCAAATGGGACATAGTACCTTTAAGACTTGCTTAAAAAGTAATTATTATTCAAAGTTAGCCCAACTATTAGTACTTCATAAAAGAAAGAAACAAAAATTACCTGTCTAAGAGATATTGATATTCCAAAATAAATTCACACCAAAATTAAAATAAGGGTCAAGCAAAGACTAATCGATAGGATTGATTGATCAATGATCATTGGGCTAATGATTTATATCGGTTTTGAGTCATTGTCTACCACTAGGCAGGCAGGTATTTCAATGAGACAAATATAGCAATGTTCTATATCTGCGTAACCTTCCTCTATTTCTTTCAGAAAAAGCTCTGAAAACCTTGGAAAATAAAATAAGAACTGATTCTGAAAAGATAAACAAATGTAAATGGAGAACGATCTCTGAGTCGTAAGAAGAGATAGTGGTTACAGGTTTATCTTCTTGATGCGCACACGGCACTGCCTGGCGCGGCTTCTTCGGAACTTGAGCACGCTATGATGGGGTTTACAGACATGACCTCGACAATAGCTTGGGAGAAGGTAAGGATTCG